GTTATACCTTGACCAAGTAATGGAATAATATTCAATAATACAACCCAAAATGTCAAAGATAAAGTTTCATCACTCAGCTTCAAAAATTGACGAATTTCCGTACTTTCATACCCTTCCCCTATTTTATTGCTCAGCAGCCTAAAAAATAGGTTTCAAGCTCCTAGCTTTATAAACAACGACACTTTTATAGAACCCTTCATCTCCTCTTTCAACCCCATACAACCCTTTTTCTTTATTTGTGTTCAATCAGTTAATTAAAAATACGTTTCAACCTTATATTATATTAAAATATATAATATTTCGTACAAAACCTTTTTTTCATCATCATCCCTTTCAACCTTTTTTCGTATCCATCGTCGTATATCGTCCCATTAAAAAGTAGTCTTTATCTATATTCTCAGGTCAGACTATCTGTACCAAATTTCATTTAAATCGGTTCAATGGTTTTGGCTTGAAAGCGAAGCAGACAGATAGATAAAGTTACCTTCGCATTTATAATACTAGCTGTTCCCGCGGCTACGTCCGCGTGGAACTTTATTTTTCTAAAATAAAAATAATCTAAGTTAAGTAGTAACTTAGTAGGAGTAAATTACATCAGCTACCTGCCAAAAAAAGTCTCGTCGAAATCGATCTATCCATTTCAGAGATTAGCCGGAACGAACGGAATGAAAAAATTGTAAAAAATGTTAATTTGGTGTATGTACCATATTTATATTCATATGCATGTATTAAAAAACGATTATTTCCATATTACAAACCGACACTCCAATTTTATTTATATGTATAGATTGGTAAGGATAAACAAGGGAACAAAGTCACACGTACAGTACAGCAATATTTTATTACAAGCCAATAATTAACTATAAAAGTTTGTTGTTAATTGTATTCAATATTCATCAATAAGTCATTAACAGAATCTAGTTAATGTAACAGGAGCAACTTTGGAAAGTCATTTAACGTTAAATCGAGAATTATACGCCAAAATGAACGGACAGAAGAACCTATTCTACGTATTGACAGCAATATTCAAAGATTTCTGCAAACATTGTACACTCCACGGGTTCTATTATTTATATAAAAGTAAACAGGGGTTGGTCCATTTTATTTGGGGGTTGATAATACTGGCCAGTACTGTTTTCTGCTCCTATTTGGGGAATATGATATTTCAAAAGTATCTGATCAACCCCACCCTCACTGTGGTAAGTTTGTTTTCATTTTAGATTTATAGACAACTAGCTTTTTCCCGCGGCTTCACTCGCGTTAATTTATCCCCTTAAGCGTGAAATTTATCAAAATCAAAAGTCATAGTAGCTTTATCCGATCGGGCTTAGATTTTGCATGTATAAAATCTCAGCCCGATCGATAAAAAATTGACAAAGTTTCATACAAACTTTCATCCCCTATTTTATACCCTTGTGGGTAGAATTAATCAAAATCCTTTCTTAGTGGATGCCCACATCATAACATCTACCTGCATGCCAAATTTCAGCCCGATCCATCCAGTGGTTTGGGCTGTGCGTTAATAGATCACTATGTCAGTCACCTTTGAGTTATATATATTTAGATTTATATAAAAGTAAACAGGGGTTGGTCCATTTTATTCTTATATATTTGATAATACTGGCCAGTCTAACGGTGGTAAGTTCGTTTGCATTTGAGATATATAGACTATAGTAGCTGTACCCGCGACTTCGTCCGCGTAAAATAGTGAGCTTGGCCAAATACTAGAAAAATATTTAGTAATAAAAACCAAATAAAAAGTTTCATCGTTCTAGCTTCAGAAATAACGAATTACAAAAGTCTAAAAAATAGTTTCAAACTTCCATCTTTAAAAAGGATAGTTCCATACTTCTTATTTTCTTTACTTATTTAGAAGATCAACATACAAATTTCTTACTCATTCTTCTTGTGATAATACTGCTTTCCCAATGTTTGGTAGAATTAAAAAAACTGGACGGTAGGCAAAAAAATTAAAATTATAATGTATAAATTTGACGTTCATAAGCGGCTAAAATGTCCTACATGAATAAATGATTTTTGAATTTGAATTTGAATTTGTAACTATTCAGAAATGCTTATATTAAGTTTATTTCAGATTATTCTATTCTATTGGATCTATATACTGAACTGGTCGATAGAGAAAAATTTTCATATAAAAAAATTTTATGTTCATAAGCGGCTAAAAAGTTCTACATGAATAAATGATTTCTGAATTTGAATTTGAACATTCCTTATATTATATATATAATTATCTATACGTATAAATAAAATTGGAGTGTCTGTTTGTAATATTGAAATAACCGTTTTTTACTACATGCATATGAATATAAATACGGTACAACACCATAATGACATTTTTTAGAATTTTGTCTGTCTATCTCTAAATAGCTGGACCGATTTTGACGGGACTTTTTTGGCAGGAAGCAGACGTAATAAGGAGTAACCTATGCTACTTTTATTTTAGAAAAATGAAGTTAAATTCCACACGGACGAACGAAGTCGCGGGTATAGCAATTATAAACAAAACGCTACGCGATTTTACATAAACTGACTTATCTAACGTACACAGTCACAATTTATTATCCTCCGAAATACAATTATTATCTAACAATATTCTCTTACAGGTAGAGTCGACACATTACTCAATAACAGAGATTCCTTTCCCCGCTGTAGTGGTATGTGACCCAGAAGTCGTTTACGGGCCTAATGTCAACAATGTCACTGAAATATTGTAAGTTAGTGTTTTTTTATGTAACTGAAATTGTAAGCAAGGACCTCTTCTGGTTCTGCTTCTGTCGAGTTGTGGAATAAAATAGAATAGAATTTAGTAGAATCAATCAAATCAAATTATCTTTATTCATATAGGTCTATTACTTTACCAAATCTACCGTCAGTTCGGAATGATTTCGAGATGAGAAGAACTGACAAGAAACTCGGCTCGTATTCTTTTCAAATATTTGTTGTTCCAATATCTACCCTGTACCCATTGTAAGCACAGACTACTATATACTACTATACTACTACTACTACTATATATAGAGTACCTTAGTTTCTGTTCCGGCGCTTTCCCTCCTTACCTATGACTGAACTGACCGTATGGCCATACCTATATTAAAACAAATTAATACTGAGTGTGAAACCTATGTGGAACTGTGAAGGCTAGTCTAGAATGTCATCAACCTGGCCTGTGTTAAGAAACCCAAGAAATCCTCAGGAGTAGGTACGAGACAGATGCTTCCACATATTGTATTTTCCCTAATAGAGCAAGAGCCCACGACGGCCAGAGATACGTCTTATTAGTAAACATGAAAGTTCTTGTATGTGTGTCCCCAACACAGGTAAGAATGATCCCCGAACATGAAACCTGGATTGTGGTTCCTTTGGCAGGTAACAGGTAACAAAGGTGTAAAAATTTTCATATCAAATTCGTTATTTTAAGAAACTCCATTTTTTCATATATTGTTCGTAGTAGTATTATAACTTGCGCTGCTCATTGCCAGACACTTAGTGTGGTTCCAAACCCCGGCGAACCCACTAAACTATACTATTTTATAAATAAACTTACGTTATTTTAATAAAGTTTAACTTTATATATATTATAATTAAGAAACACTGTTTTAATAGTTCTCTTAATAATATATATAAATTTCAACTTTATCAATATAACGTAAGTTTATTTATAAAATGGTATAGTTTAGGGGTGTCCGGCGGGGGGTTGGAACCATACTAAGTGTCTGGCAATGAGCAGCGCAAGTTATAGTACCGTTACGAGCAATAGGTGAAAAAATGAAAATGCTATAGCAATTTTGTCAATAGCAAAGTCCAATCAATGTTCATAACCCGAACAGACCAGTTCCCACAAAAGTGTAGAAATTATAACATAAACTTTTTTAGGAAGTTATCAACAAAAAATCAACCATTCGGCATCATAGCTTCGGTGGTCTAACGGTTTAGCCTTACTACCTATGGTCGCGAATTCGATTCCACGCACTGTGCAAAAAATTGTATATACACAGTACAGTTTTAATTTCCAGACGTCGTCGTGGCTATGTCTCAGAGCAGATTGATGCGTTTTACAAGAGTTTCACTGATGTGGTAAAATCAAACTACACACCCTCGCCACATGTTAAAAAAATGCACTCAATACTTGAGACTCTGGGGTATCCGTATGATGTTTTACTGTCGATGGTAAGTATGACAATTTAAAACATATGTACGTATATATATAATGAATGAATGAATGAAAAACTTTTTATTCTTCCTTTCACAGAAAGAAAATAACAATTACCTAAATGTTATAATTCAATCCTAAATAATAATAATTTATATATATATATATTTACATATACAAGTTTAATAACTCACATGATATTATATTTTTTAAGGTTCTTTATTAAGTATATAATTATTATTAGATAAATTAATATGTACACCAAATATAAATAAAACAATTACAATAAAGAGGTAACAATGGGCGGTTTTATAACGGCCTTCTTGACGGCCTCGGTGGTCTAGCGGTCTGGCACACCGCTTTACGTCCAATGGTCGCGGGTTCGATTCCTCGCACGGCACAAACATTTGTATTCATGAGTATGATTGTTTGTATCGGTCTGGGTGTTTTCTATAGATGTGTTTATGAAACAAAAATCTATGTATTAGTATCAGTTGTCTAGTACCCATGAAACAAGCTTTAGCGGGCTTAACTTGGGTCTAGATGGCGCTGTGTGAATTGTCCTGAGATGATTATTATTATACATCTAGAAACTTCTCAACAAATCACGTACATCATTCTGACGTTTAATTTATCAACTACAAATGCGCGCCAAATTCAAATAACGAATGTCAATGACTTTCATTTACATATATATATATATACGTATATATATATATGTATACATAGTATAAAAATCGTTGTCTCTTATTAATTTCAGTTCAAGAAACCCTGTGATTTATTAGTCGTTAAATGTTCATGGAGATCTAAACGTTATAATTGCTCACAAATGTTTAGAGAAATACTCTCCTCTTCTGGGTACTGTTGTCAGTTCGATATGGACCATTTCCAGTAAGTATTTATATTTATTATATCTATATATGTATGTATATTTTATACCATGCTAGTGACAAACAAGTGTACGGCCCATCTGATGGTAAACGGTTACCGTAGCCTATAAGCATCTGAGACTCAGGGGTGTCACTAGTAGCCGATTAAGAAATCCTAATTATATCCTTTTTGAAAAACCCCATGCTGTAGTCTCGTGAGAAAACAATATTAAAGAGAAGTAAAAAGTGAGATTTTGAGGATTTTGAGGATAATCTTTTGAATTAATTATGAAAATCCTTTTAGTGTTAGACAGCCCATTCATCGAGGAAGGCTGTATGCTATATAACATCACGCTAGGACCAATAGGAGCAGAGCTGCAATGACAAATTTAGGGAAAACGAGATTGTATAGGTCAGCCACTGTAGACACAAGTTATAACTTCGTACAAACCATCTTTCTTAAGAATATGCTTCAATTCTTGTCCCTCAGTGGATTGGACACTCAGGTCTAAGCAGTGAACTTTGAAAAAGACCGAACAAAATAGATCTATGCAGGTCCAATTCTCATAGGTTTTAACACATGACAATAGCCCACAATCCCTAATTAATATAATTGTTAGTTGTAGTACATAATAGTTCCAAAAAGTGAACTAGATGTCGCTGTGTCATTTATGTACAATTTCTACATCGCGGTGGCAAGATGTTTTTGCATTATGTCTTAAGACATAGCGCGTTTTGTAAATTTTACCCCTCCGATCTATTCCCCGTCCAATTCAAACGGGGATCGATATTACGACGGCCTGAGCCGAGGTTCGAACCCCTAGTGGTGCTCTCAGACTAAAGTCGTATGCGTCAGGCAGGAGATGGCCTTCAGCCGCTCCATAAGTCCTTCCGCGGGTTTGGAGTGCCATCTGCACTCGCCCCCTAACGTCCGGTGAAGCTGTAAAGGCCAGCTGCGGCCAACAGTATTAGAGTAGTCCGAAAAAAAAAAGATAATTAGTACTTTACTATATTTTGTATATTGTGTGCATTGAAGTTAAATAAATAAATAAATAAATAATTTTACAGAATATTCCTACTACATCATATACAGTTCTAGTACTATCCTTGGGTTTTATATATAGGGTCTAGATTAGATTTAGTACAGTTCAGATCTTTAGTACAATACATTTAGTATTGTACTAAACATCTGAACTACTACCCCTAATAAAAAAAGATGTGGAGACATTGACAAATAGAAGGCCGAGTGTTGACAGAAATATTCCAAATGTAAGTATGTTTTCAGGAAACACACTGACGATGCTACGATGTTTATATCAGGTATACGAACAAGTGAAGCATTAGATTTCGTAGTAGATGGACAGAAGGTTTCACATGACGGCACAGTAACTGCAGGATTCGTTTTGGTAAGATACATAACATTAATTATTGCCCCACCGATCGATACCCCGTCCAATTCTAATGGGGATCGATTTTACGACGGCCTGAGTCGAGGTTCGAACCCCTAGTGGTGCCCTCGGACTAAAATCGTATCCATCAGGCGGGAGTTGGCATTCAGCCGCTCCATAAGTTCCGCAGGTTTGTAGAGCCATCTGCACCGCCCCCTATCCGGTGAAGTTGTAAAAGCCAGTTGCGGCCAATGGGGCCCCGCTGTGGCGCGACCGGGCGCGAGCAGGCGCCCGGTTGAATGCGCGATATGGTATGTGTTTAAGGTCGTCGTCCTCGCCGGCGAGGACGGTGTCGTGATTATGTGTAAAAGTGTGGTCAGGACGGAACGGGTGGGCCCGTGGGGAGGTTTACTGCCGTTATGGGGTCGTCGGGGTCAATGAGAACGTGCCTCGGGCGACGTTGTCGCATATGTCGGATATTACTCCTCGGTGCGTAGTCGACCGTACTGTCTATAAGCGGATTAGGGTGAGATTGGGCAGAGTCGAAGTAGCGTCGAGACGCTTCCTTCATAAACTGCTTGATGGAGGGCAGATTAAGGTCGCGGTGGAGATAAATATAAATAAGCAATGAATCATCACTGGAATACCGCTAAACGTTTTCTTAGTTATCTAAAAGGCACTAAAGACCTAAAACTTAAATAAAAACGTAACAGATAAATATTTCCAACAGAATACATGCATATTCATATTACAGCAACAACATTGTAGGTCGAATAGATAAAGTACATTTATTTTTTTATATATGTCTTCAACAGAATTTATATTATAAAGAGTAAAAAATAATGAGATTTATTTAATACTTCCGTATTAATTAAAATTATAATGGGTAAAATGAAGTATAAAATATAATATTTTCTGATTCCGAGGCGAGACACGACGTGATTTTTAAAATAAAAAACATTAGAACAATAGAATCGATGCCTGAAACGCTAGGGGTGTCTCGTGCGCGTTGTTGACCCTTAATTTATTATTTTTATTTATTTAATTTAATTTAATTTTAATATTAATTATTACTTATTTATTTAACTTTTGAAATTAAATTATTTTATTTTGCTAGGAATGTGGTATGCGCAGATGTTATAAAGTGGGTACATAGGGTAGTGGGTTCCATGCATGTGTGTGGTGTGACAAGAATGGATAGGATAAAGAATGAATACATTAGAGGAAGTATGAAAGTGGCACCGGTGTCGGAGAGGTTGAAGAGTAATCGTCTATCATGGTATGGACATGTAATGCGTAGGAACGAGGATAATATTTTAAGAGAGGTGTTACATATGAATGTGGATGGTTATAAGGGCAGAGGAAGGCCGAAAAAGAGATGGATGGACTGTGTGAAAGATGATATGGTAAGAAAGGAAGTAAATAACGCGATGACTGCGAACAGGGATGAATGGAAGCGAAAAACATATTACGCCGACCCCAAATAAATGGGATAAGGAAGAAGCCGATGATGATATGGTTCCATGCAACCCACCTTATATGAAGACATGCAAAATTTTATATTAGTTATGCTTCTGTAAATAATTACATAATTCTGTCTTTCAGATAGCATATTACATTATTTGACTTTGAAGTGGCAATGGGCAGGGCACATAGCTCGTAGGACAGATGGCCGTTGGGGCAGTAAAGTCCTCGAGTGGCGACCACGGACCGGAAGACGCAGCGTGGGAAGGCCTCCAGCAAGGTGGACCGACGATCTGGTCAAGATCGCTGGAAGGCATTGGATGCGAGCAGCGCAGGACCGATCGTCGTGGAGATCTTTGGGGGAGGCCTATGTCCAGCAGTGGACGTCTTCCGGGCTGCGATGATGATGATGATTACATTATTATATTATACAATTTAAAAAAATTATATCTACATTATTATTTAGTCATTATATGTCAATATAATTATTATTATGTCGTTATTATTATATTAATATAATCCAATTCTTAACACATTTTACCATTAACATAAGGTTTGTTAAATTGGATCCGTTTTGTTGCACCTTAGATACATACAGAAAGAAACTTTTCGAAATACTGAAGTAACCACTTTTTATTTTTATTTTTGTTATTATAATTATTATAATGTTTGTACTGTAATATTCTTATTTCTTTTTTCTTATTCATTTTCTTTGTATTTGTATTGTTTTGTTTTTATTTTAGTCCACTAGGCTCACTAAAAATAAAATTAAGTAAAAAATTTTCGGCACTCAATGTCTATCGTAAAAATTACTTCTATTTGTATATTTATATGTTTTTATAACGACTGTTTCTTGCCAAAATGAAGAGAAAAAAAAAATTAAATTTATAAATTATTTTACTATATAAATACATCTCACAATTAACCAGTTACGTAATCTATTTTGAAAAAATTCAAAAGACATTTCTCTAATAATTTGAGGTATTTTGTTGTACATTTTTATACACATTATTCTACAATTTTGACATTTTTGAAATAGAATTCTGTTATTAATATAATTTTAATTACTGTTTGACTTTGTCTAACAATAATACAGTATAATATTTAGTCCAGTATTGCGTAGTACCAGAAGCCTTTGTCTGACGATCCCTGCTCACTCCATCACATATTATTCCAACTCTTTCACTGTCCTAGCCATTCGCCTTTGGAACTCTCTACCACTCTCCATTCGATCCGCTCAATCTCTTGCAATATTTAAAAATCGTCTAAGGTCTCATTATCTGTCTCTATAGCTCATTTTTTCCAATTTTTTCTGAAATCTACCAATATGTTGTATATATGTAAGTATATGCGTAAGTTTATTTATATATATCTATATATGTATGTCCATTTATTCGTTTAATAATTATAGTGTCTTGTGTGTGCCATCTACCTCGTCTATATACATTACTCCTATTGCTTGTTAGCAGATTGTTTGTAAGGAATTGCTTATAGCGATAAGAGCGCCTTTTGTAATTATTTTTTTTATTTACTGTTTTTCTTATTGTATTCTATGTGCATAATAAAGAGTTTATTATTATTATTAATACAATTTTATTTTGTTAATATTAGAGCATTGATAGCCTCCGTGCTTTAGCAATAATATATCGCCTTACTTCTGAGGGTCGTGGATTAGATTCTACGCACCTTACATTAGAAACAACTAGACTCGAATAAAAAATTAAAAATCATTTATTCATGTAGGACATTTTAACTCCATATGAACATATTTTATTATATTATATTTTTCCGTACCGTCCATATCAGTATATAACTTATGATATTTGTGTTTTTGTCGGAAATAAATTGATTTGATTTGATTTGATTCGACAAACCAAGCTGTTTGCCGGCGGAATAACTGTAGTAGAGTTTAAACAACGTCAACTTGTCTAGAACATGTATAATTAGATCCAATCCAGAACCAAGTGAGAAGAACTGGCAAGAAATTCAATTGAATTACTTATTATAATGACTGGACATCATACTTATTAATGCAAATGTTAGTACCGTACGAGAATTGAACCCACGACTATTGAAAGTAAAGCGGTGTGTTAAGCCACTAAACCACCAAGGTCGTATTATAACATAGGAATCGAACCTGTGGCCATCAGCGGTATTATAATTAGAGGTCGAAACTGAATTACAACCCAGGATACATCACCATTGTATAGTAGAAGCTAAGCAGAGTTTGTATTATAGGTAATAGATAACTAATATAAAAACATAAATACTTTTTTAGTTAGTACATGCATATTATACATAGAAAACAGCCAGAGCGATACAAACAATCATACTCATTAATAAGAGATTATTATTATTATCAAATAATAATAATCTCAGGACAGTTCACACAGCGCTATCTAGACCCAAGTTAAGCTAGCTAAAGCTTGTGTTATAGGTACTTAATAATTGAGACATATACACAAATATTTTGTTTTTGGTAAATACATACATATTACACATAGAAAACACCCATACCGATACAAGCAATCATGAATAATTTTTTTGTTCCGTGCGAGGAATCGAACCCGCGACCATCAATCGTAAAGCGGTGTACTACACCGCTAGACCACCGAGGTCGTCGTTAATACAAATATTAGTGCCATGCGTCGAATCGAACCTATTGAAAATAAAGCTGCGGCTTAACCACTACACTACTGAGGCATAGAACATTGAATTAATACTATGGATTTATATTTCAGCTCTACCTCTTTGATCCTCAAGATAGTATTTCTCTATTGGATAGCTCTATAAGAATCAGTCCATCAGCTTATTTCGACGTAAACATTGACGTTTGGGCGATCGATTCATCGGATTACGTGAAAGAGTTGTCAGTTAAAAGTCGAAAATGTATACTTGAAACTGTAAGTTTTGTATATCATCTATACATACAAATAAAATTGGAGTGTCTGTTCGTAATACTGAAATAAACGAAATTTTTTACTACATGCATATGAATATGTACATACTCGTACACCAAAATAACCTTCTTATTTACGATTTTTGTCTGTCTGTTTGTTCCGGCTAATCTCTGAAATGGCTAGACCGATTTTGAAGGGACTTTTATTGGCAGGTAGCTGATGTAATAATGAGTAACTTAGACTACTATTATTTAAAAAGAAATCTTTTATTTTAGAAAAATCAAGTTAAATTCCAGGCGGACGAAGTCGCGGGAACAGCTAGTTGTTAATATATTATTTATCTTAGCCTATCTTAGCCTATGGTCGATATGGTTTGATTCATGGTCGTAGGAAATGCGAATGTTGAGATGGATGTGTGGTGTGACAAGAATGGATAAGATAAAGAATGAATACATTAGAGGAAGTATGAAAGTTACGCCGGTGTAAGAAGAGTTAAAGAGTAATCGTCTATCGTGGTATGGGCATGTAATGCGTAATAATGAAGATAATATTTTAAAGAAGATGTTACATATGAATGTGGATGGTTATAAGAGCAGAGGAAGGCCGAAAAAGAAATGGATGGAATGTGTGAAAGATGATATGGCAAGAAAGGGAGTAAATAACGAGATGACTGCGAACAGGGATAAATGGAAGAGAAAAACATATTACGGCGACTCCAAATAAGGGGATAAGGAAGTAGCAGATGATGATGAGTTTGTACATATAGAAAAAACAAAGATATTCTTTCTGCGTGACTTCAATTCAAAAGATCAAACAATGTTTCAGGATGCTATATACGGCACCGGGTTTTACTATGGCTGTATTTCTGCTAACATCGTGAGTAGATTGGTTGACAATTGCCAGTGTTTGCCATTCAATTATAATGGTAAGTAATTTTTTTTTTTATTTTTTTTTATATAAATATGTACCTAAATATAGACCTATACTAGCTGTCCCGGTAAACGTTGTTTTGCCTTAAAATACAAAAAAAATATAGGGGTGGATTACCCCTAACATTTAGGGGAATGAAAAATAGATGTTGGCCGATTCTCAGACCTACTCAATACGCTCACAAACTTTCATGAGAATCGGTCAAGCTGTTTCGGAGGAGTATGGGAACGAAAACTGTGATACGAGAATTTTATATGTAAGATATTTACCTAAATATAGACCTATATATTAGCCTAAATATAAACCCAAATTTGGACCAAAATATAGACCTTAATGTAGACTTAAATATGTACCTAAATATAGACCTACATATTAACCTAAATATAGACCCAAATATGAACCAAAATATAGACCTTAATGTGCACTTAAATATGTACCTAAATATAGACCTACATATTAACCTAAATATAGACCCAAATATGAACCAAAATATAGACCTTAATGTGCACTTAAATATGTACCTAAATATAGACCTACATATTAACCTAAATATAGACCCAAATATGGACCAAAATACGGACCAAAATATAGACATTAATGTGCACTTAAATATGTACCTAAATATAGACCTACATATTAACCTAAATATAGACCCAAATATGGACCAAAATATGGACCAAAATATAGACATTAATGTGCACTTAAATATGTACCTAAATATAGACCTACATATTAACCTAAATATAGACTCAAATATGGACCAAAATATGGACCAAAATATAGACCTTAATGTGCACTTAAATATGTACCTAAATATAGACCTACATATTAACCTAAATATAGACTCAAATATGGACCAAAATATGGACCAAAATATAGACATTAATGTGCACTTAAATATGTACCTAAATATAGACCTACATATTAACCTAAATATAGACCCAAATATGGACCAAAATATGGACCAAAATATAGACATTAATGTGCACTTAAATATGTACCTAAATATAGACCTACATATTAACCTAAATATAGACTCAAATATGGACCAAAATATGGACCAAAATATAGACCTTAATGTGCACTTAAATATGTACCTAAATATAGACCTACATATTAACCTAAATATAGACTCAAATATGGACCAAAATATGGACCAAAATATAGACATTAATGTGCACTTAAATATGTACCTAAATATAGACCTACATATTAATCTAAATATAAACCCAAATATGGACCAAAATATAGACCTTAATGTTGACTTAAATATGTACCTAAATATAGACCTACATATTAATCTAAATATAAACCCAAATATGGACCAAAATATAGACCTTAATGTTGACTTAAATATGTACCTAAATATAGACCTACATATTAATCTAAATATAAACCCAAATATGGACCAAAATATAGACCTTAATGTTGACTTAAATATGTACCTAAATATAGACCTACATATTAACCTAAATATAGACCCAAATATGGACCAAAATATGGACCAAAATATAGACATTAATGTGCACTTAAATATGTACCTAAATATAGACCTACATATTAACCTAAATATAGACCCAAATACGGACCAAAATATAGACCTTAATGTAGACTTAAATATGTACCTAAATATAGGTCTATATATGGACATAGGTATCGGCCTAAATATGAACCTAAATATAGATCTAAATACACTTATTAACTTGCGAAGGTGCATATAAAGTACATTTTAGTTTCAGTGGACTAAGAAATATAAATTTATTTAGTTCTTTTATATTGTTATGACCTTGATAAGAAGGTAAATAAATTTATGGAAGGGACTTATAAATTTACTTACACGATTTAATACGGTCATCTCTGCTTTGAATAAATTAAATAAATGTATAAAATAAATTTATTATAAAAGAAATTAAATGTATAAGTTATGTATATTAAACTTATACATTTCATCTATTACTGCTACTATTAAAGAGATAGTAGTGCTAATTATAACTGACAGAATGAGGTAAGACCACTGAGGCTAGAAATTGGAAAAGTTTCTTTAGTAACTAAGTTGCCTATGTCACTATTAACTAAAAAGGGATTTCTCGGAGCTAGAGAAGATTTTTTCTACACGTCTACATGATACAGAGAATTCACCAGTAGTATCTATATACTGGGTACAATACCTAGTATAGGCTATGGCCATGTCATGAGGAGACCGGAAGACCACTTGACAAGAGAAGTCCTCTACTTCAAGTCAGAAACCCGAGTAACATGGATGTCAGTAGTTTTTTTTTTTATGGATGATAATGGAATGGAGCACCTGCCTGCGCTAGCGGTTTACGCTGGCGGGGCACCAGTGGAGGATGATAAGATGAACATGAGGTTAGGTTAGTTAGCCCATCGTGACGAATTCACTAGGAATTAATCTCGATGGTTTTCAGGGGGGACCGCGTGGAGGTCGACCTAACCTGATAAATTATTAGCATTGGGGCTACTGTTTCCATTACTAATAATCCAAATAAAAATAGGATAAGGCCAGAAGAAGGTTAGGCCGAGCATGTATCATAGTTGCTAATATCTTCCAGCGACAAATGGGAAAATTAAAATGAAAGAAGTGAATTAATATAGTTTGTTTGTACGTTTAATATTGTTTGATTGTTATTATATTGTTGACAACCTCGGTGGTCTAGCGGTCTAGCACACCGCTTTACGTCCGATGGTCGCGGGTTCGATTCCTCGTACGGCACAAACATTTGTATTCATAAGTATGATTATTTGTATCGGTCTGGGTGTTTTCTATGTATAATATGTATGTATTTGTGTGGTACTAAAATTAATACAATACAATTGAACATTATTTTTATTATATTTTTTTTTTAATATGTTTTGTATTATATATTAATTTCTAAATTATTATAATTACAGCTGACCAATTAAAAGTTGAAGATATATATACATCATGTTCGTGGGACCGACTCATATGTGTATATAGTACATTAAGTAAGTTTATTAATGTAGTATTTATTTATTCATTTATTTGCACGTTTATTATGACAAAGTCATAATTGTTTTTTCATAGAGGATACTTTCGATCACTAATACTTGTAAATTTTTTATCGTTATATATACCATCCATTTCGGTTAACACTTCAGTTACCTCGTTATTTTGCTCTCTTTCTTGCCATATCATCTTTCACTCATTCCATCCATCTCTTTTTCGGCTTTACTCTACCTTTATAACCATCCACATTCATAAGTAACATCTTCCTTAAAAAAATATCTTCATTCTCACTCATTACATGCCCATACCACAACAGACGATTACTCTGAACCTCTCTCTCTCCTCTGTTTATTTGAATAAAGATTATTTCTATTTCTGTTATATTTATCTTATGACTTTCTACCAGGTTCTTTTGACTAGGTAGTCTAGGCTGTAATACAGCTGCTTAGCGGCTTGCTTTGTGAGCTGTAACGTGTAAGGGTTGAATTAAGACAGTAAAACTCCAGGGAGGTATACCATAACAGTTCGGTTATCCTCATCATTGTAGCGTTATATATGTTGTGATGAGGTGGCATTATATAATACATTATTTACTGTATTATGTAGGTAGTAAGTATACAGGTAGAATGATTGCACGATTTATTGTACATTATTAAGTTTACTGGTAGTCTGCTACATGGCTCATTAGTAACGCGTACAGTCGACGCGGAGTCTACTGATTTTACACTTAACTTAAATCTATGTTAGTGGAAACGTAAACTAACGGAAGGGTCTCAAGTGTCGGCAGAAATACTACAAGTGTAGGCACACCATTATAATCTTCCAGCATGACAACGCAACGTGATATCCGTATCTGTTAGTTTAAACAAGATGGTTTTCTCTAAAGACAATAACAGAATAGAATAGAAAAGCATTTATTCAAATAAACTTAATTGAAGCACTTTTGAATAGTCATAACATTTTTTTTTTACTTACTACTCTTTCGGAAAGCTGTCTCATCACAAGAAGAACGAGCAAGAAACTTGTGTGTTGCTCTTTTAAATAATCTTTGTAAGTTTACATTTACAAGTCGAAACATGTGACTACAAACTACCAACCGGCACAAATTTTTTTGGGTCAAATAAAATATGCAATAAAATTAGATCAGTCGTAGTGATAAGAGCAGACCAGTCCCTACAAGCAGCACTCGTTCACGATGTATGACGGATAAGCCAGCCATCACCTCGCTCGCCCATATTTTAGAGAGCCCAATAAGGGTATATTAAGGTTTTTTAAGAACCTAGAAACAAGTTTTAGGTATCTGTAACAGCTACGATAAGCATTTACCATCAGATAAAAAATAAACTATCTGCAGCTATTTTAATTTCATAAAAAATTCCCATTTCTAGAAATTTCTATTGCTTATAGGACGAAAGAAATTAATTTCTCGCGAGCAATTATATTTCTGTAGCACGACTCAGTTTCCTTATTCCAAGATGTAATCTTCTTATGTATTTGAAACAAGTGACTCTGCTGACCAGCGTAAGTTGATCCATATTTTTCCTTGTTATAACCTTTACATAGTACAAGAAAGCCGACGTTGTCTGTTCGCATAGATCAGCAGTCACCCATATGGTGATTCAATAAGAAGGTTTATATATCAAAAAAAAAAAAACAAATAATAATACATGTACGCCCGTGCGAAGCCAGGGCGGATAGCTAGTTAAAATTCAAAATTCAAAATTCAAAAATCATTTATTCATGTAGGACATTTTAGCCGCTTATGAACGTCAAGTTTTTACTTTAGTTACAGTAATTACATAGTATAAATGTCGAAGTACACTATATGAAAAAAAATGTTACGTAATGATGGCAAAAATATACATTTATATACCAAAATTTAAAGAACTGCATATGAAGCCCTTTAAGTTAGCATTTAAGAAATGGTTAATAGATAAATGCTTTTACAATACGCAGAAATATTTTCAACGATGATCAACTACTACAACATATCCTCAGCGCTGAATACATGAAGCTCAACTTCAAACACGGAACATTTCCTATAAATGATATAAATTGTTATTATTACATTTAATTTTAATTTTGGACATTTAACAATATAAATAATTATGACATTCGTTATTAACATTTAACAAGTTATATTGCACTGTACAACAAATTACAAAAAAAAACAACAATTAATTTGTAAGAACAATGTAACCTATTCAAAGCAAATAAATAAATAAATAAAAAAAGTCGCTGCCGCTATCAATGAAGTTTTCAGTAATAGTGACAATGATAAGATCAGCAGTAGATGGGTGATTCAATAGGAAGGTTTATATATGTATAATACATGTACGCCCGTGCGAAGCCAGGGCGGATAGCTAGTTACAGTAATTACATAGTATAAAAAAAGTCGCTGCCACTGTCCTTACGCTTTTATCTTTCAAATTACACAACGGATTTACATGAAGTTTTCAGTAATAGTATGTAATATTATGTTATATGTGCTAATAGCGACAGTGATATGATCAGTAGATCATCTGTAGATACAGGGATTCAATAGGAAGGTTTATATCAGGATGTTAGGGAGCTCCATATCCGTAACTGAAACTATCGGATATCCGATATAAAAAAATATTCGTAACCGTAACCGAATCCGAAATAAAAGTTTCGCATAATATCAGATAGGGGCCGAGACCTCGGAGCCTAATTGAGATACGTTATATAACCATTTTATTAGCTACTTGCATTTTACTCTTGAAATTTTATAAATAAATAATATCCGTAATCGAAATTATCCGAAAGTAACAGATGATCCGAAATAATTTCATATCCGTATCCGGTATAAAAATCATTCCTATATCCGAAACCTATCCTTATCCGAAATTTCATATCCATTAAATCCCTGGTTTATATATATATATATATATAATACATATAGTAACTAGTTAAATAGTATAAAAAAGTCGCGACCGCTGTCTTTTCGCTTAGATATAATATAGTTTTCAGCAATAGATTCAAGAGAAAGGTTGATATGTGTAATACACCGGGTCTCCCTAAAATATGGTCGAGCGCAGTAATAGCTGGCTCATCCGTCATACTCGTGAACGGGTGCTGCTTGTAGGGACTGGTCTGCTATAATCACTATGGCTGATTTCCTCGTATTAATTGTTTAACCAGTTGGTTATATATTCAATATTTTTTCTATTTGAGTATTTAATTGAATTAGTGCTAATTGGCGGTTTGTATTCACACACTTAAACTTAAAAATGTAAAGTAATAATAAAATTATTTATAAGAGCAACACGCAAGTTTCTTGTTCATTCTTCTTGTGATGAGACAGCTTTCCGAATGAGCGGTAGATTAAAAAAATGTGATGACTATTCAAAAGTGCTTCAATGTAAGTTTATTTGACTAAATGATTTTCTTTTCTATTCTACACGAGTGTTATAGCATAACAAGCATACAAATTTAAAAAATGCGTATTCGTGCGTCGCCGGGACGCATCGCTAGTTGTAAAATAAAATTCAATTTATATCAACGGTACGCTGAAGATAAATAATTTGAAGGCCGTCCTTTGTTTAGTTTTCCCTTAATAAATAAATATTTCCTGGACCAACAATAAAACGCTTCATTTCACTTACCTTTTGACTAAGTATAAATAGATATTTCTTACAATTAAAGTAATTCACTCACCCTTTGACTAAGTATAAATAGATATTTCTTACAATTAAAGTAATTCACTCACCCTTTGACTAAGTATAAATAGATATTTCTTTCAATTAAAGTAAGAGCACTCTGTATATAAAGTTTATTTTGGATCTATTATAAAAACATGTAAAACTATTTATAATGGGATAAATAATTTTATGGTAATAGTAAGGTGAGGAGATCTTTGGGGGAGGCCTATGTCCAGCAGTGGACGTCTTCCGGGCTGCGATGATGATGATGATGAATAGTAAGGTGACGTATAAAGAATTTTATTTTTTTTATTTTTGTTTACAGAATAGATAATAAACATTAAACATATAATATATTATGTAAAAGTATTTAAAAAAAAAGTTTTTTTTAAATTAATCTATAAAATTTAAAATTGCTCTGTTTAACTTTGGGTCAATATTTAATAATATTGTATCACTATATTATTAAGGATACAAAGCACATAGGAAATTAATTTTTTTTATGCTAAAATAAAAAAAATATATACAACCAATTTGTACAAAACTTCAAAGAAATATAATACATTGGAAATTAGTGTCAGTATGTTTAAAAATAGTATATAATATTCTATATATAATAGTGTGTATATATATATTGTTAGATTTAAGTTTCTAATGTAACAAAATGCAATATAAGCGCATATGTAAATGATGTAACAAAACGTAATGTGCCATCTTTGTATGATTGGTTGTAATTAAAAAAAAAAAATAAACTACTCTTTGTCTGAAAGTCAACGTGTTTAAATAGGTTATGGGCAATAATCCGTATTTCAGTAATAATAATTTAAAAACAAGTGATTATTACAGTTTGAAATAGTTGAACTTTCGTATAAATATGACTACGAACTATATTCAAAGTGTTCCGAAACTTAAGGGGAGAGAAAATTATGATGAATGGAGTTATGCAGCTGAAAATTTGTTGGTACTCGAAGGCATGGTTAATTATATTAAACCAGAGTCAGGAATCGACATAAAACCAACAGAAGATGCTAAAACTAAGGCGAAGCTAGTGTTAACAATAGATCCGGGATTGTATGTGCATATTAAAGAAACCAAAACATCTTCTGAGTTGTGGGAGAAACTAAAAAACATGTTCGATGATTCAGGTTTTTCAAGAAAAATAACCTTATTACGGCATTTAATCTCATTGCGACAAGAGAACTGTGATAATATGACTACATATGTGACACAAGTTGTCGAAACGGCTCAGAAATTGAAGGGCACAGGATTTTCAATTACCGAAGAATGGATCGGCTCATTGTTATTAGCAGGTTTGCCAGAAAAATTTTCACCCATGATTATGGCAATAGAACACTCTGGTATTAAGATTACCACAGACGCTATAAAATCGAAATTAATCGATATGGAGGTTTCAAGTATTGACAAGGATTCCAGTGGCGCTGCATTCGCTGCTAACAAAACGCATCAAAAATCAAAAAGCAAAAATAACTATCTGTCAACGTCAAAAGTGACAACCGGGAAAATTGTGATTTGTTATAGATGTAAACAAGCCGGTCATTATAAAAACCAGTGTCCATTAATGCACAAAAATAAACAATCTAATGCTTTTAGCGTGGTATTCTTAAATGGTGAATATAGTAAAAGTGAGTGGTACATAGATTCCGGTGCAAGTGCACACATGACAGCGAATAAATCTTGGATAAACAATGCAAACTTTACACCAAGTTTAATGGAGATCACTGTCGCAAATAACATGAAGGTGCCAGTTTTGTGTTCCGGAGATGTGAGGATATCGACCAATTGTGAATACGACATAACCGTAAAAAATGTGTTATGCGTGCCAAGCTTGACAACTAATTTGTTATCTGTAAGTGAATTAATCAAAAACGGCAACAATGTAGTTTTTGAAGAAAGTCAGTGCTACATTTATAACAAAAGGAATGAATTGGTGGCAACAGCTACATCATGTAATGGAGTATACAAACTCAACATAAAAGTGAATGATTGTATTCTGGCGGCTCCTGTAGTATCAAGTGCAGAGCTGTGGCACAGGCGGCTGGCACATATTAATTGTAATGATTTAAAAAAAATGAGAGATGGCATTGTTGATGGAATTTGCTATCCTTCTACCAGTGACATGAAAGAACGAATGATGAACAGATGAGGTTGCCATTTTCACATGTGGGTCAGAGGAGTATGAAAACACTAGAGATAATACATGCGGATGTATGTGGTCCTATGGAAACTAAATCCATTGCCAGTTCTCAATATTTTTTACTATTTGTGGACGACTTTAGTCGTATGACTTTTATATATTTTCTGAAATATAAAAGTCAAGTGTTTAAAAAATTCAAGGAGTTCAAGTTCATGGTTGAAAATCAACAGAATAAAAGAATAAAAATACTACGAACAGACAATGGCGGTGAATTTTGCAATAGAGAAATGGAAAATTACTTGATCAATGAAGGAATTATACACCAAAAAACAAATGCATATACGCCAGAACAGAATGGTGTCTGTGAGAGAGCTAATAGAACAGTAGTTGAAAAAGCAAGATGCTTACTTTTTGATGCTAATCTGGATAAAAGATTCTGGGCTGAAGCGGCAAATACAGCGGTGTACCTTAAAAACCGATCTGTAACTTCAAGTTTGGAAAATAAAACTCCCTATGAAGTATGGCATAATAAAAAACCAAACCTAAGTCATATCCGTCTCTTTGGCAGTACAGTATTGGGACATATTCCCAAAGAAAAAAGGTTAAAATGGGACAAAAAAGCAGAACAATATATTCTTGTTGGTTTTTCAGAAACAGTGAAAGGTTATCGCTTATATAATCCAGAAAAGGATATGGTTACTGTAAAGAGAGATATTACAGTGATGGAAGAGAAGATAAAAGCAAAAATAAATAATGAAGAAAATATGATTTGGGTACAAAATGATATAAATCATTATTTTCATGAAGAAATAAATGGAGAAGGCATAGATTCAGTGGGGGAGATTTCAGTTAATGAATCTCTGCATGATTTAAGCTCAAGTACATCCACGTCTGTATACACAAACCCAGATAATGATACTGAGGATGATACCATAATCTCAAATCTTGAGACAGACACTTCAGATTGTGAGATTCAAGAAGTTTCAGTAAAGGAAAATAAAAGGATTAGGAGAGCTCCTGACAGATATGGCATGAGTAACATGTGTACCCGTAACTTATATACAGCTGAAATTATTTTTTCTGAAGCATTACATGGACCAGAGGCAGAACACTGGAGACGAGCTGTCGAAGAGGAGTTACAGTCGTTTGAAGACAATAAAGCATGGGAACTTGTTTATATTCCTCAAAATGGATCAATTGTGCCGTGTAAGTGGGTGTTAAATAAAAAACTTGATGTGAATAGTGAAGTGCGCTATCGTGCCAGACTTGTGGCAAAAGGCTTTACACAACGAGAAGGTATTGACTATGAGGACACTTATTCTCCTGTTGTTAAACATTCCACACTAAGGATGTTATTTGCACTTGGTGTGCAATGGGATATGAACATTACACACCTAGATGTTGTAACAGCCTTTTTAAATGGACATTTAAAAGAAAACATTTATATGTCAATCCCTGAAGGTTTTTCAGGTGAAAGTAAGGGAAAGGTGTTAAAGCTTAAAAGGGCTATTTATGGATTAAAACAATCCTCACTAGTTTGGTATGAAAGAGTAAAAAATTGTTTATGTAATTTAGGCTTTAAAACAAGTAAAATTGAACCTTGTTTATTCACTAAAATTAATGACAATGTTAAAATTATTGTAACTGTCTATGTAGATGATTTCTTAATATTCTCAAATTGTGTAAAAGAAACAAAACAACTGATAACTGTGTTGAGTTCTGAGTTTAAATTAAAGGATTTGGGTACTGTTAAAAGATACTTAGGTATGCACATAAATGTGGATGAAAAATGTAATACAATAACAATTCACCAACAGGAATACATAGATGAACTGTTGAAAAGATTTAATATGTCAGATTGTAGGGCTGTGGCCACACCTATCGAATGTAAACTGGATCTTGATAAGTCTGAAACATGTACAAAAAATATTCCGTATCAAAATTTAATTGGAAGTCTTATGTATTTAGCTATACTAACTAGGCCTGATATAGTTATCTTAGCCAGTTTAATACATGTTACAATGAAAATCACTTCAATTATGCTAAAAGAGTGTTAAAATATTTACAAAAAACTAAAAGTTATTGTTTAAAATTTAGTAAAAATAATACAGAGGACTTGAAGGGTTTCGTTGATGCAGATTGGGCAAGTAATACTATAGACAGAAAGTCTTATACTGGCTTCTGTTTTACCATGAATGGTTCTGTGATTTCATGGCAGAGCAGAAAACAAAAGACTGTCTCTTTATCGAGTACCGAGGCTGAGTATGTTGCTCTATCAGAAGCATCCAGAGAAGCTACTTATTTAAGAAATTTATTATTTGAAATTAGTGGTAAACAATTAACTATTAAACTATATTGTGACAATCAAAGTGCATTAAAATTGGCAACAAGTCATCAGTATAGACTATGTATACATAATAGGTCAAAACATATAGATGTTAGATATCACTATGTTAGAGATGCAACCAAGAATAAAAGTATAGAAATTGAATACATTCCAACTCAAGAAATGCCTGCTGACTTGTTGACCAAGGGTTTGTTACCAACTAAACATTATAAATTTATGAAAATGTTAGGGGTTCCATCTTAGGAGTAGACTTTTATATTGTTTCGATAGCTTGCTTGTTTATTTATTAAGTGTTGGTTAGTTGAGCATTAGTAAGTTAAAATAAGCTATATTTAGATTTGTTTTGTTAAGTGGGGGTGTTAGATTTAAGTTTCTAATGTAACAAAACGCAATATAAGCGCATATGTAAATGATGTAACAAAACGTAATGTGCCATCTTTGTATGATTGGTTGTAATTAAAAAAAAAAAATAAACTACTCTTTGTCTGAAAGTCAACGTGTTTAAATATATATATAATAATAATATAATTTCAGGACAATTCACACAGCGCCATCTAGACCCAAGTTAAGGTAGCTAAAGCTTGTGTTATGGGTACCAGATAACTGATACATATACATATATATATTTTTTGGAAATACATACATATCATATATAGAAAACAACCAGACCGATACAAACAATCATACTCATGAATACAAATGTTCACTTATTATTCTTTACCATCAGCGACCGTAGTTTCTCTCATAACTTTTTTTTTTAATTATAATAATCTTTGTTTAATTCAGAAGGATAGGTGCACTTTTTTTAATAGATAGAGTGATTCAAGAGGAAGGTTTATATGTATAATACATATACACCCGGGCGAAGCCGGGGCGAGTAACTAGTATAGTATATTGATATTACAGATAAAGTATTTGGCAATATGAAAAACGTGATTGGAGGCAGCGAGTGCTACCAGAGATGTGACTTCATACAATACGACACCGACGTGAAATATGTCCGACAGGAAAGGAAATTCAAGTAATATTTGTTACTAAGTTCGAGTAATAATTACCCTGAAAAATCCAATAGCCCTGTGAAGGTTGGATTACTAAGTTCAAGTAATAATTACCCTGAAAAATTCAAATAGCGCCATCTAGCCCTATGGAGGTTGGAGACCAAGAAGACGAGCAAAAGAAAACGGACCGGTATAGTCGTAAAATATTGTGTATTAATGACTTATCTAAATATATATGTATAACTCAAAGGTGACTTACATAGTGATCTATCAACGCACAGCCCAAACCACTGGACGGATCCGGCTGAAATTTGGCATGCAGGTAGATGTTATGACGTAGGCATCCGCCAAGAAAGAATTCTGATTAATTCTACCCTCAAGGGGATAAAATAGGGGATGAAAGTTAGTATGAAACTGTCAATTTTAAACCGATCGGGCTGAGACTTTGCATGCATAAAGGTACTATGACGTAGGCATCCCCTAAGAAAGGAAACAAAATTAAATCCGCAAAAACTATACTTCTTAACGCGAGCGAAGCCGCGGGCAAAAGCTAGTGTCATATAAAACGATGACGAATGTATATGTGATGGCGAAAGTTACTAATTCGTTTTATGGAAATTGCGTAAGGTTCTACAATAAACTCCCAGAGACTGTACTCAATTTTCCAGAAAAAGAATTCAAATGTATTATAAATATTTTCTTTGTAAAAAAAGCTTATTATAAAATTGAAGAATTTATAAATGATAATAATGTTTTTGTAGAAAATATCTAACTTAAAATTCATAGCGCTGACAATGTTATCTGATTGAACAGAGATTAAGTGCGTAGCGGTTTCTATGTTGATTGTCGCATGCCTAATCCTTGTTGTTAATTAAATATAAGTAAATGAATATTTATTTAAAAGAGCTACGCACAAGTTTCTTACTTATTCTTCTTGTTATGAATCTGCATTCCGAATAAGCGGTAGAATAAAAAAACTTGTTATGTTTTTGAATAGAAAGGTGCTTATATTAAGTTTATTTGAATAAAGATTATTTCTATTTCTATTTCTAAAAACAATATATAATAATATAAAATTTATAGATAATAAAAAAAGTATAAAAATTGTTCGCAGGAAGCCCCAAGCTAAGCGAGTCTTGTGTAGTGGGTACTATTCTGATATAAATACATAGATAATTTTTTTTATAAATACATGCATAATATACATTGGTAACATGAAGACTAACAAAAACAATTATAGTCATGTAAATGTTTGTACTGTGCGAAATTGTGCGGAATCAAACCTGCGACTATTGGAAGTAAGGCAGTGTAAATATTTTAGATAGATATACTGCCGCCTTAAACTTTGGTCTTGAATTTCTTGTATCACGACTGAGTTTTCTTACAAAATTACAAAAAAAAATTGGCTAATGTAATCATATTTCGCTGAATTTACAATATTTTTTAAATTAAGTCCTTTGTGTCGTTCTGATTTATAAGCTATATTATTGTAAAGTTTCATCAAAATCCGTTCAGTAGTTTTTGCGCGAAAGAGTACCAACTCAAATTGATTCAGATTATCAACCTTATTTATACTCTATTAGAAAGTCCAAATTCCTTTGTATCAATGTTTAAAATTCAATTCTTTAACAAATTTTTTTGTGACTGTTCTTTTTTTTACAGTGACGTCGATGGTAACCACAGCAGAATTTCTGTTCATTTCAGTGACAACACTTGCCTGAAGTACAGGCGAGAAGTGCTTTATACTTGGGACCAAATGCTAGGTAAATCCTTTATAATATTACAAATGCGAAAGTAACTCTGTCTGTCTGTCTCGCTTTCACGCCGAAACCACTGAACCGATTGAAATGTAATTTGGTACACAGATAGTCTAGACCCTGACAAAGGATATAGGCTACTTTTGAATGCGAAGAAAGGGTTGAAAAGGGTTGAAACGGGAGATGAAAGGTTGTATGGAAGTATCGTAATTTTCCGCGGACGAAGTCTCGGACGCAACTAGTACGTAATAATTGTAAAGTATAATTTTTAAGAAAACTACAAACTTTATATTATGACATAGTATAAAACAAAGTCGCTGTCGCTGTCCGTCCCTATGTATGCTTACATCTTTAAAACGAATCTTTTAAATTACCGAATTTGTACTCATGTGCATGTAGTAAAAAACGGTTATTTCAATATTACAAACAGACACTCCAATTTTATTTATATTTATATAGATTATTACCGTTATTATGGTAGGTTCTATAGGCCCAAGGGCTGTACCATTTCTGATGCAAATTTAATACTTATGCCTTTGTAAATAAAACAGATTTTTTTTATTTACAGCAAACCTTGGTGGAATATTTGGACTTTGTCTAGGTGGATCTATAATAAGTATAATCGAATTGGTTTGGTTCTTATTTGATATTTTATACGCTACACTAACTTACAGAAGAAATAAGACAAAAGTGGAAGTATTGCAGAAGAAATGGCAGACATCCGTAGATAATTTATCGCCATTGAAAAAGAAACATGTTTTGGGAAAATATAAGTTTGTCAACTAATCTATTATATTTGTGTATACGAGAATTTATTTTATTTTTTTATTAGCTGTTCCTGCGACTTCGTCCGCGTGGAATTTAACTTTAATTTTCTACAATAAAAGTAGCCTAAGTTACTCCTTATTACATCAGTTATCTGCCAAAAAAAGTCCCGTCTAAATCGGTACAGCCATTTCAGAGATAAGCCGAAACGAATAGACAGACAAAAATTGAAAAAAAAAAGTATTTAGTTGTATGTACCCTATTTATATTCACATGCATATAGTAAATAACGGTTATTTCAATATTACAAAAAGACACTAAAATTTTATTTATATGTATAGATTTATTTACTACACTTACAGACCCGGCCACGCGTTGCTGTGGCTAAGGTTCTTGAATAAAATAATAATAATAATAATAATAATCTCAGGACAATTCACACAGCGCCATCTAGACCCAAGTTAAGCTAGCTAAAGCTTGTGTTATGGGTACTAGATAACTGATACAAATACATAGATATTTTTGTTTTTTTTAAATACATACATATTATATATAGAAAACACCCAGACCGATACAAACAATCATACTCATGAATACAAATGTTTGTGCCGTGCGAGGAATCGAACCCGCGACCATCGGTCGTAAAGCGGTGTACTAGACCGCTGGACCACCGAGGTCGTCATAATAATATTGCGACTATAAATTGAGTTGTAAGCTATCCATTCTTTCAAGATGAATAAAATCGCACACAATGTGCAAATCAAATTTGGAGTCGGTACAGCAGTTTATTAGTCCATAACGGACAAACAACGTGACACGTAATTTTTTTATATAACTTTAATACACACAGTAAAAAAGTAACAGTACATTTGGCTGACTTAACACCATGCAGTATTTTCTACCAGTCAACCAAAGCTAGGGGTGTAAATTGCATAATATAAAACAAAGTCGCTGTCGCTGTCTGTCCGTCTCTATTTACGCCTTAATTTAAAACTACGCAACGGATTTTGAAGCGGTTTTTTTAAATATATAGAGAGTCTCAAGAGGAAGGTTTATATATATAATACACACCCGTGCGAAGCCGGGGCGAGTAGCTAGTAGTAGTATAAAAATTGTTGCCAAACAGCTTGCTTTGTAAAGTGTATTTGGTAGTGTGGAGATAAGGCAGTGAAATTAACAAGCATAACTGAGTAAATGATATTGCATGAGTGATAACATGTACATTACGAACTGATAGTCCGAGTCAGAGTCTGAGAATCGGCTACTATCTACTCTTCATACCCCTAAGCGATAAGGGTTGTAAACCCCTTACATTATTTTTTAATTTTTTTGGGGAAAAATATTTTATTTATATTTTTTTCACTTGTCACAAAAAATATATTCCTTCTATCACCAACCCCTATTTTTTATAGTGTTATTAATTTATATGGCAAAACAACATCGGCCGGGACAACTAGTAGACAAGAAGTAGCGGCTGAAAAAGCCAAAACATGTGAATACAGGGGTCTAGAGTCCGAATATGATTTTGTCCCATTCGGTGTCGAGACCTTGGTCCGTGGGGTCATAACGCTATAAGACTTTACAAAGAAATAACGAAATGGTTAGTCGACATCACAGAAGACCGAAGAGCTGGCAGCTACCTTGGACAAAGAATTAGTCTAGCTATTCAAAGAGGGAACGCTGCCAGTATCTTCGGAACGTTACCTAAAGGGACCCCTTTTAATAATATATTTTAGTTATCATATTATATTTTTTAAGCTTTTTAATTTTAGGTTCTTAGTTGTACAATTATGTTATGTATATATCAGTTTATATGTATTAGATAATTTTTACTAGTAGAATATATATGTAAATATAATAATGGTATGATCAAGTTTGTATATTTGTTACTGCTTACGACTTTAGGCAATTCGTGTCTAGTTGGATGTAAACAAAGGTGAAATTAATCTTTGTTTAACCAAAGGTTTAGTAGCAAACAAAAGTAATTTGACTTGATTGTGAGTCATAGACCATAATTACTAGTTGTGCACGCGATTTTACCCGCGTTAAATTTCAATAAAAAATATATCTTACTGATGTATAAGCTATATTACTGTAAAAATCATCAAAATACGTTCAGTAGTTTTTGCGTGAAATAGTAACAAATATCCATACTTACAAACAATACTTAAATACAATATTACTAAATGTTTACGGTTTCATCCGCGTTAAATTTCAATAAAAAATATAGTCTATGTTATTTTGATGTTTAAGCTATATTACTGTAAAGTTTCATCAAAAGCCGTTCAGTACTTTTAGCTAGTAAATAATCATTTTAAATATAGAATTTAATCAAATCGTTTAAAGGTTAGTTTTTGCTTTGCTGAAAAGCTAAAAATATTCACAAACTCGTTCAACAATCTATAAACATTTATTGAATTGCAACAAACAAATTAATTGGTTGACCCTAAAAAGTTGAATTGATACACTGGTGTATTGGTAAACTGTCAAATGTATGCGTGTGGGTGGTAGGTAAACAGTTTTGTATTTTTGTATTTGTATTCTATTATATACATTCAAAAAAGTCTCGTCAAAATGGGTCCAGCCATTTCAGAGACCAGCCGGAACAAACAGACAGACAAAAATTGTAAAAAATGTTATTTTGGTGTATGTACCGTATTTATTCATATTCATGTAGTAAAAAATGGTTATTTCAATATTCTATATATTATTTATACGTTTTTACATATGAATATCGTAAAAATCACTTTGAGAATTATATAGTAAGATTTTTTCATTACAAAAAAAATTAACGCTATTTATGTATAAAACAAAGTCGCTGTCGCTGTCTGTCCGTCCCTATGTATGCTTAAATAATTAAAATCTACGCAACGATTTTGAAGCGGTTTTTTTAGTAGATAGAGTGATTCAAGAGGAAGGTTCATGTATATAATACATGTACACCCGTGCCAAGCCGGGGCAAGTAGCTAGTTATAAAATAAACATACTCTAATACAAACAGCGCCATCTTGTAGACGTTTATGTAATTATTTTTTAATACGTCCCTAAATATTGTGCATCACTTATGTGCTTACCAATCAACATAAACACACAAACATATAGGTTCGTTTTGATTAGACAAATATTATTCTATCGTTTGCCGAGTCTTGTTGACAGAACTTTTGATCAGTGCGTACGTGATTGGGCGGCAAGGAAATATACCAGCGACCTATTAATTGGAGATAGAGTTTAATATTATATTTTTTAGCAGACTGACAAATTTAAAATGTTGGAAATTAAACTTTCTTGTTAATATTTATATAAAATAGCCATATATAAGTTTGAAATTTTCCTATCACTTTTCTTCTTTTGTTTTTTAATTGCAATTGATCTTTTCGCAATATACGTAAGCAAATTCCATTTCCACAATTGCCTAGTTTTATTACAATCACCGTAATATCCAACTGAGAAATCCATAATACGGACATAAGATATCCTCAATTAAGTGACTCATCATTCATAAGTTTGAAATTTTCCTATCACTGTTCTTCTTTTGTTTTTTAATTGCAATTGATCTTTTCGCAGTATACGTAAGCAAATTCCATTTCCACAATTGCCTAGTTTTATTACAATCACCGTAATATCCAACTGAGAAATCCATAATACGGACATAAGATATCCTCAATTATGTGACTCATCATTCATCATTGCCTTGCCTTTATCCCATCATTTGTCGGCGCAGTATGTCATTCTCTTCCACTGCTCTCTATCGGTCGTCATATCTGAACATACTCTTTTATTCATATCATCTTTCACACAATCCATCCATCTTTTTTTAAGGCGTCCTCTCCCTTTACATCCATCCATGTTTCGGAAAATATAAATCCTCAACGTGAGTAATTGTGCCAAAAAATTCTATTGTTTTTATAATTTAGATGATATTTTTTTTAACAATTAATATAGCGCTAATCACACGGTGAGTAGAGCTTATGTCATGGGTACTAGACAACTGATAGACATAGTCAGATATTTTTTTTTGTAAATACATAAGTAATATACATAGTAAACACACAGACCGATATAAATAGTACTTTGTACCGTACAAGGAATCGAACCCGTGATCATTGGAATTAAAGTACTGTGCTAAACCGGTATACTATATTTTTGTAAAAACATGAATAATATACGTAGAGAACATCAGACCCGTAAAAACCGTACTTTGTACCGAACAAGGAATCGAACCCGCGGTCATCAGAATTAAAGTACTGTGCTAAACCGGTAGACTATAGAGACAATAAAAAAATAATCGATATTGTTTAAATAGTTCGATTGTTATTGTTGTTTGATTATGTAAATGTACAAGTGGACAGAATCGCGGGCACCACTAGTGTTACCGAAGGCAACGTTTTTGATAGTTTTTTTTAAATATAAGTATATTATTCTACTAGCTGTGCCCGCGGTTTCACGAATTTTATAGCCTATATCTTATTCTGATGTATAATCTATATCTACTCGACCCATTGGTTTTGCGGCGAAATATTGCATCTCTTTGCATTTTCTACCGCATATATCACGGGGAATGTTCTGAGGAGTTGTTCGGATTAATACCAGCTGCTGAGTTTCACCACCGTACCACCCGCCAGAAACTAAAATACCATCCTGATCATCTGGATGAATGGTGGTCCTTCACAGTGCGGTTTTATAGAAACTTTTTGCCACGCACAACCACATTGTGGAATCACCTTCCAGCAATGGTATTTTCGAATCGATACGATATTGAAACCTTCAAGAAAAGAGCTTATTCCTTTTTAAAAGCCGACAACGTACTTGCAATTCCCCTGGTGTCACGAGTGCTCATCGGCGATGGTAATCACATATTTATGTTCATAAAAATCTTGACTTATTTCCAAAAAACAGCAATATTCATGATATTAATACTAGATTTAAAGACAAACTTGCTGTCCCCAAGTATCGTTTAGAAAAAGTTAATAGGTCTTTTATGGAAATAGGTATAAAAATTTACAATAAGATACCAAATGATA